GAATCTTTTCTGTCTTTCTCGCCATGGAGGTCTTTGGAGGATACGTGTTGTGAAGACTACTGCCTCGCGCTTGTTACACCCGACGTGGACTTCGCTCTTGCAGCAATCAGTGCCATGTCTGCGCCTAGCGGAGACCTCCCTTTCAACCGGACTGCCACAAACAAGAAGAGCTCTGTGTTTTGGCTGAATCATTGGGGCTGGGACCCGGATGAAACCATCGAAGCTTGGCTCGTAAGCAAAAATCTGCCCATCCCCAGTGAGTACGAACTTTTTGCGTCCATGCCGACTGTGGGAAGTACTGCCTTTCGTACTGTTTGTGTTGACTTGGTGCCCGACATGGTCCCCACTGGGGATGTGGTCGCGGCCCTTGCTTCAATTAGGGGGTTTGCTCAAGAAGGCGTCAAGGAAGAGTATGTGCCCAGTGAATTTATCAACCTCGCGGCCTCCGGTCAGCGTTTGGCACGTCATCGGAACATCCTTGTGGACATGAAATGTGATTTGGATGCACTTGGTTCTGTACTGTCCCGGGGACTATTTGTCGAAGGGTACATGTTTCGGGTGCGTATTGTGAACTGTTCATCTGCAATTTATTTTGCTAATGCCCTCAAGAACCGCCCTCGTCAGGTGTCCAAATCCACTCAAACTGTTCAAAAGCCTGTCAAACCCCCCTCTGCTTCTGTGACGTCACATGATGTGTCGATCCAGACGCAGCCCCTGCCGCCGCCCCGAGCCAAGCAGCCAGGCAGCCGGCCGGCAGGCCGGGCCCCCCCGCCCGCCCCGCCTCCAGCGCGCCGAGCCAAGCCGCCGGTGCCCAAGCAGAAGACGCCGACACAGCAGACGTCACCGAAATCCGCGCGCCCCTCCCAGTGTTTTCGCTGCCAGCAGTGGGGGGAACACAAGTCCAACCAGTGTGTCAACGAGCCGCGGTGTCGTCTGTGTGCCGGTCCCCACCTAACCTCTGCTTGTTTGTGTAGGATGAAGCGCAAATGTGTCCTCTGCAATACCGACGGACATGCTGCATCCTCACGGGGCTGCCCTGCGCGCCCCAGGCCCTCTCTTGCTGAGAAGAAGAACCAAGCAGCCGACAAGACCAACAGCAGCTCCAAGCCGCGCGGCAGAGGGGGCACACGAGAGCTTCACAAGCTCGTCTTTTTATTGAAGAAATTTTTAAGTTGAGTTCGTAAACCTGTTCCTTTACTCATCTTTTATTTTTTCTTCTTGCCGAACTGTCACTTGCTCTCCATTAATGCCCTTTCGTTGTGTTGCAGGTCCGATGTTTCTTACCCCCACTTGTGTCGGGCTCGGCCTGCACACACGTCAGTGGCAAGGAGTAGCGCGCTATGCTAGTGCGCGGGGTATCGCCTGTGAGCGCCCCCCTCACTCCCAGCTCGGCTGCTCCCGCCTCGGTGGCGCGGAGTATCGCCGCAGCTTCTCCTGCGCGAGCAATCTCGCCGCGCTTCTTCAGCATGGGGTAGCGTTGTCCCCCCATCGCTATTTGTGGGCAGCATTAGTCCCCCACTTTTTATTAACATTTCGTTAAATGTTTTCTCTCTTTTATTATTATGTATTGCTCATGTATGCAATTATCTACCATGTTTCTATACATCTTCATATACCTATAACCTTTGTACTTTTGAAACTACTTATATGTTTTAATAAACACAATACAAACTGGGGGTCGAGAGTTCGATTCTCTCTGGAGGCACTGCCTACTTTTGCCGGTTCCGGGCGGCCGGTAAATGTGGACACGTGACTGGTCTGTGCCGTCCGCTGGCCGCCACTGTCACGATCGGCCCGTTGGTCTAGGGGTATGATTCTCGCTTTGGGTGCGAGAGGTCCCGGGTTCAAATCCCGGACAGGCCCGTGTTTTGGCGGTCTTGTTGCAGCGCAGCGCGTTGTTGAGTTGACAGTTCGTTAAAAAGTGAGCTCCTCCCCGGCGGGGAATCGAACCCCGGTCTCCCGCGTGACAGGCGGGGATACTGACC